GCACAACATATCGCAGAAGCAATATCCAAGAATCAGGTAACTAGTTTTTGAAAAATCTGTAAATACTCAGTATTAATACTGCCATTGGTTACAAACAGACCTTGACAGCGCTGGATCTCGCTGAAAATCAGATTAGCGAGACAGGGGCAGAACACATAGCAGAGGCCCTAATAAATAATCAGGTAACTAGCTTTTGAAAAATCTGGAAATACTTAGTATTAATACTCCCATTGGTTACAAACAGACCTTGACAACACTGAATCTCGGGTGGAATTAGATTTGCGACATAGGGGCCCATCATATCGCTGATGCACTAACAAAGAATCAGGTAACTAGATTTTGAAAAATCTGAAAATACTCGGTATTAATACCTCCATTGGTTACAAATAGACCCTGACAGCACTGTATCTCGGGTGGAATAAGATTAGCAACATAGGGGCACAACACATTGCAGATGCACTAACCAAGAATCAGGTAACTAGATTTTGAAAAATCTGAAAGTACTCAGCATTAATACTCCCATTGACTGCAAATAGACCTTGACAATACTAGATCTCAACAGAAATGAGATTAGCAACACAGGGGTGCAACGTGTCACCCAGTTACTAGGTAATAATCAGGTACGCTTGTTGAGAATGTACGTGAAGTACGTAATCGTCATCTTTTTTTATGGAACCAGACTTTGAAAGCGATTGAAGAGAATAAGAATATGATCAGCAGGATTGGCTTGCAGTAGCATGCGTAACCAATGCAGCACAAGCAAATGGTATAGTTCGATTTTCATGGACCTGCTTCCTAAAAGCAGTTGTGAGTGCCTCAGGACAGTTTGAAAGTGTGGTTTGTCATAGTATTGGTTATGGATATTAGTGTAATGGGCTCTATCTTGGATGTGAAGCGGGTAACTATGGCACGACTTGTTGATTTTGATTCAATTGGATAAATAGCGAAGCGTTCATGCAATTATTATTATTTTTTTCTTGTGCTATGAAAAACATATGGTGTGATTATTCTGGGCTAAAGATAGTTTAAACTTTTTCCATAAACAAAAATTAGATGAAAATGATCAGTGTACTTTAAGAGTATGTTTTCATGGGTATGAATGTGTGAATCTTTAGATTTATTTGCTTATGAGTCAAGATCTCCCTGGAATCTGTAGTCAAAACGGAATATACGCAATTTAGGTTTGTTTGATTACTACACAAAGTTGTCAGTGGAGAGTTTTCTAGACAATGTCGTGGCCGACTATTTCACATAGCTACTGTTACAGGAATGGCAGGACTAACCAAACAGAATCTATTGGCTTCTAACTTGCCTGGTAGACTTATTTCGGAAAAATGCTTTTACTGTATCTATGCATTGACTTACAGTATCGGTCAGGTTTGTTTTCAATAATGCTAGTTTCCATCATGTTATCGGTTGTTCTTTAGTTAGATGTTGTGAGTACGGCGTCTGCCAGCAGTGTAAAAATACTAAACTAGCTCAAAAATACATTGCAGCGTATATACAAATAACGGTTCCTGTAAATCAGATCGAATAATATCAACATTGCTTCAAGCTATAAATAACTTGGTATTGCCTGAAAGCGATAATGGAAATTGAAAATGTTTGCTGTTTATCTTCTTGTGTAGCACAATTTCGATTTACCTCAGTTTTCTCGTCGGCGCAGTTCTTGCTTGAGGGTGTTCTTCTTCTCTTTCAAAAGTCAACGTAAAACCGCACACAAAAACAAGCTGTTGAAATAAAATCTAGCGTTTTCAGTTGACTTAAAATCTCATACTTAGACAATGAACTGAGTCGATTGATCCTCATTAATATGCACCCTGTATGGAATTTTTCGCCGTAGTATGATTTGCAATGGCTTGTTATAAATTGACTTCTTACTAATAATAATGAATTGGCTTGTGTGGATTTATGAATAAAAATTTATTCATGTGAAAACGTTGAAAAAAATTCATAGAAAAAGATAGAACTCCTCTGAGTTAAATCCAATTGACTTTGATCAAGCTGTTGTATTCCCTGAAAAAGGTTCGACATTCAAACGTTTTCTAATAGTTTTGTATCTTCTAATTACTAGTAATAGTTTTCGCTCTATATTCAAAGAACTCACGTACTATATTGAGTTAGTTTATTTTTTTAATCTAAAGTTGTCGATATCAATATTCTTCTATTCCGTTTTTTGGACACTTTATATGATACAAATGAGAAGAATTTGTGTTGTTTGCCTTTATTAATATGCATATAGATATCAAAAATCTGTAAAGATTCAATTTCTTGTGAATCAACTGTCTAGTATGAAAATATGAAATTTACTTTACAAATACGATTTCTCTCCGTTTATTATTACAAAATGAACATTTATAGTTTAAGATTTGGTGAAAAAAGTATTAGTGAGCAATGCACCTATGATTGAATGTACAAGAGAAAAGTGATTTTTAAAGTAAAACTATACATGCCAGAGAATAATTGAAAATAAAATGCAAGTTATCTATAAAAATAACTGATTCTTAACTGAACACAATCTCTGAATATGAGATATGGTTTGATCCGGACAGTAATATACCAATAAACTAAACTCTCAATAAGCGGTAGGACGTACTTCGTTGCCGATCGAGATGATTTAAGCTTGTAAAAATATTTTAGGTGATAAGAATAAATCATAGTTATTAAACTCTATACTCATCGCATCGAATTAGCTATAATTCTAGAATAAAAAAATCTTATCAACCAATAAGTCTCCGTATAAAGCAAAAAACGTAGTGGTACGAAATGATTATCTTCTTTTAGATTTTTATGATGATTACTTGATAGCAGGGTTGCCAGCTGTTCAGGTTCTGCTCTACAGGATAAATCTCGTCATCCACCATTACTTTGATTGCATTGAAAACACTTTTATGTTTTCTAAGTTGAATTCCACTTGGCTATATATTCGAAACAAATATGGTTACTACATTTTTAGCTGGTACTCAGGTTTCACAATATGAAGATAAATTTATTGATTTTTTGCCGTTGAACAATGACTCAACGAAAGACAGCAACAAGAATTTTTTTTATCTTGTTTTGATTTAATATTCATCTTTTACTGAATAGATTATGCCATTAAAGATTTATTAAAAATTTAGCTTTATTTCTATCGAATTTTTTAAAAGAACATGGCGTAATGATTGAACGTACATCTGACTTAAAAGAAACTTTACTTGAAGCATTACAGTGTCTTTCTTTTAAAACCTGAGGTTGAAGAAGTAGAAATATTTAAAATATATTTGGAATGTTGGAATATTGCAAGTGCTGAATTTTATCGAGAAGTACCATTTCAACAAACAGTACCATTATATAGTCGAAATACAAATAGTACGCCAACACGTCGACAATTTTATGGTGTTATTTTATCAAAGGTAAAATTTCAAACAGCAAAAACTTTCATTATAATTTCTTTAAATTTCAACAAAATTAGGTTCGACGAAAACGAACGTAATGAAGCTGTACGAGAATTTATGAAGAATACTGATGCAATTAGTCTTTTCTCAAATACACACTCATCAATCTACAACTGAACAAAGGTAGAGACATTATTATCGAATAGTCAGCTGAAAATGTTTTTCTGTACAATTTTCATGAACGTTTTTTTACATTTACCTATTGTACAATTTATGTACGCTGCTTCTTTCCTTTTCATCGATATTTCTTCTGGTACTTTGTTCAACGTACTCTTTTTCTAAGTACTTTTTTCAAGTATGTTGTCTCTCAGTCACAGTTCCATTTGAAAAGTTACAATGTGTCAAAAACGTGCTGCGATTTCGTTTGTGAAAAAATCGATTTGCTAACTGTTTTCTAATAAACTGGAAAAGGCAATCAAGCCTAATACAGTGTAAATATTTATTTCAAGTATTCGATGAAAAACTATCGTAAACGATTAAATCCAGTTAAAATACGACCGTATACGGAGTCCTTAAATCTTGACCTGGGGTCTCCGAGATGTTCTCATCGTTCTGTATGTAACTTTTGTATTGATGTAAGTTATCACTATGTATGGTTGGCCGTAGAAAGGCCGAAAGGAAAAATATCGAAAGGAAAAATACCGAAAGAAAAACACCGAAAGAAAAATATCGAAAGGGAAAAATGTCGAATGGATAAATGTCGAAGAGAAAAATGTCGAAAAGGAAAAATGTCGAAAGAAAAATATCGAAAAGGAAAAATGTCGAAAACAGAAAAGATAAAAAAAGCGACGTCTACTAAATGAAGGTTCTAATAGTTTGTTGTTCATTGTTGTTGATCTGATTATTCCATTGGTTTGACAATGATAGCCCTTGATACTATTGATAAGTAATATCTTATGAAAACTAGCTAAAATAGGCGTAAAATAGTATACAACGATTAAAATTTTATCATGATGACTACAGCTTGCTCATTTTTATCTGGTGAGAATCATCCGCCAACTCCAGTTATTTCATTTATTCAGTCGTAAAAAGGAAAACCTTTCCTTGTATCAGATAAATATATTTTCAAACTGAATACAACAGCAACAACTAGTAAATATTGGATATGTGTATTTTTCTTTATAACTCTTATTTATCTATGATCTATGCTATGATGCTATTATGATTTCAAGAATAAAAACATCTTAGTGCAAATTTTCGATATTTTTCCCTTTCGATATTTTTTCTTTCGATATTTTTCCTTCGACATTTTTCTTTCGACATTTTTCCTTTCGTCATTTTCTATATTTTTCCTTTCGATATTTTTCCCTTTCGACATTTTTCCTTTCGGTCTTTCTACGGCACACCCTATGTATCAATAGAAAAAATATTTTTCTTATCGATTTTAAACATTTGATCATCATTGTCCTTGGTTAAATAATTGTGTTGGTAGGTTTTGATTTGAATTTAAAAACAAAAAATAAAAATAATCTCTGTAAAACTTAATGTTACTATTAAATTTGTGATAACGTCGTCGAAATTATCATTGTCTTATTTGTTTTTTTACTAAGTCTATTAACTCACGTGTTTGTTGTATTATTATTTTGTATATACTTGTATTATGTATTAAAAGTTCATTCAAGTATTGGAGATTTATCTTCAATAATATGTTTAATACTAATGATGCTTATTGTAAGGTTAACTATTCCAATTAGTGGTTCAACTAGTTTTCATATAATGCTACTTTTTCGAGGAAGAACACCTAATGAACAAGTTACTGGAAAATTTAAATCAAATATTAATGCATTTGATTATGAATATTTATTTAATTTTTCAAAAATATCTGCTGCCTCAAGACCACTAAAGCTAGTCTTTTTCTCTTGTTCCTTTTATAATTATTTTTATTTAATTAAATATTTATGGATCAATATCTTCAAAAGGATCTTATTCAAACGTAAAATAAAATTCACATGAAATAGAAACTAAAAAAGAAAATATTATAAATGGAAGAAATTCTGAAAAAGTTTTTTTTCTTGTTATAAAAATAAACTTTTCAAATAAAATATTTTAGACAAAACACATATCGATGGCTTTAGTGTAATAGGTAAAAAAATTTCTATTGATTAGGTTTTTGTTGTGTTATTTTATTTTGTTCTAGTTAAAACACTTGGCGATATTAAAATGAGAAATTTTAATTTAATATCAATATTCGAAACCGATTTCAAATGTCAAATTAGTGGACAATCAATTATAAGGATTTATTTCTCTTTCTGTCTCATTTATTTATTTATTTTTATCAAGATTAAAAAACAAAACAAAACAAATTTCTTACAACATCATAGATGTCATTTCTTTCTTTTTCCCAATTTTCAATAAAAAAAAGTGAAGCAAGTAAATGAAGAAGAATGCTTCTTTTTTATAATCAAAACTGCCTGTTTGCCATTAAAATTTGCTTGTGTCAACATGATGCATAAAAATCGTTCTGATTAATTATATTGTTATAAAGAAGATTTATTTTTAAAATAGAATTGATTAATGCTAAATATTCATTGTTTTCAATGTTAATTATTTAAAATGAATCTATTCGAAATACTAATAGCATTTCTAATCAACTATTTTTATTAGAAACCTTCGCAACCAATACGAGATTGAATATTAGGGTAATCTCAACTTTGGTCGAAAGATAACAATGTAGAAAAATTTAAAAAAATGGTACTAATTTAAAGAAGCAAAACCATCTTAGATGATACATAATTCAAAATCAACTCCCAATGGCAACTTCATGCATAAATTTTCCAAAGCGTATTATTCAATAATTTTAATCTCAGCTTTCAAATTTTTTCGAGGGTTTTTACTTCTCAATATATTTATCTTCAGATTTTTTTTTCGACCAAAGTTGAGAGAATCAAATATTAGCATACTAACATGATATCTATTGATAAAGAAATTCATTCGATTTTGTAAATATTCTTCATAGCTAAGTTTTATTCGGTGTTAATGCAAGAGGAAGAACGGAAAAATTGAAGATAAAATCTATACTCAATTCTAGTCTTAAACAATAGCTACAAATATCTGAATTATTTAAACTTATTCTTTGTTTTTATTCTCAAATAATTAAATTCGAATTTGTTTTATCATAGAAAATATTCGATAAGTTTCATTGTTTTCGAGTTAACATTGAATATTTGACAGAAATCAGTATATTCGATTTGATTGATAGCAATGGACTTTACTATATTCGAAGTAATAAAAGCTTTTCTCAAAAGATAAATTAGCCTGATCACCTGTTTAGCTTTATTTTGACATTTTATTTGAACACGTTACTTACATATCAACATGGATCTTTTAACAGAGAATCGTTGATGATAAATAAAAGGAAAATTTTTTGTTTCGAAACAATTATTTAATGCACATAAACAGAATGAAAATATTTATAAATTTCGGTTTCTTTTTTAGGCATGTCAAATCGAGAGTTTTCTTCGCTCAAAATGAATCGATATATTTATCTTCTATTATTGTTCTATATAAAAGAAAACTAAAAAATTTTCACGATTTGAAATTCGAATAACTATCAAATTTAATAACAGACATCCAAGGTTAACCAAACAAAATATTTGAATATTCATTGAGATTTTGAAAATCTTTATTTGTTAATAGTAGGTTATTTATTTGATAAAATAATTGGAATAAAATTAAAAATATTTGTTGGTGCAATTAAGATGTCCCTTGTTCATTCGATCCAATTTGTTAGTTTTCAATTAACATATATCAAACAAGAATAAATTTTTATATTGAAAGAAATCAATCAGCCAAGAGTTGTTCTTTATCAGCATTCGATATATCAATCGAAATGAAAATCTTTTTATTGAATTTACACTCAATTCTATTCTGATTATTAAGAAATGTTGGAAATAAACAAAATAATCATTTTCTCCATCAAGTTCTTCTCTTTCGATATAGAGAAATTCTTTCATACTTGTACATTTTTCTCTCTGGTACTTATATTTAATTATGTAAATATTATTGTCATTAAAAATAGTGCAACACCGTAAAATTTCTTTTTCATTATTTAGTTTGACATGAAAGTTTCAAGAATTTTCATGCGATGTCAGATGAAAGTTATTCTTCATTGTCGGAAGCTATTTCGCTGAGTTCAAATCTAACGAAAATCTATCATTTAGAAAAAAATTTTATTTTTCGAAATACTTTATCACACGGCTGAAACACTCTTTTCTCAGTTTCTTTTTGAAAAGATGCTCGAGTCGGGCACAACTTGAGTTCATCCACTGGATCGAAAACACGTTTATTTTGGAACTTCATAAGTTCCTCATCGAGCACCGGACTCGACATCAATGATTCATTTGTAATTTTCAATGATGCGGAATTAATAATACCTATAACGAAACAATAATGATTATGCAAAAACCCCAAGATAGAACGCTTTGAATCATAGTTTACGATGAGCTGGGGATCCCCTCCCCTACTCAAATTATTTTGCGTTATAGTTTTCTCCCTGGAAATTTTCTTTGTGACTTTGTAGACGATTTTAATTTATTTCTAGATTGGATAAAGCCTACCAAAGGCAATCATCTAGTTTTTCCTTTATACGGATCTATTTTCTCTTTTAAATGGACTTATTTTCTCTTTAGGTTCGAACTATTTTCTCTTTATATTAATTTATATTCTCTTTCATAGGAACTTATTTTCTCTTTAAGTTCGAACTATTTTTTACAACGATCTATTTTCATTTAGATGATATTGTTAAAAACTTTTTCATGCTTCCAAGAAGAACAAAAGCTCGCAATATCAATATATACATTCAAAGCAATTATGATGATAGTGATGATGAGTGTGGTAGGCAAAACATGAAATAATTCTTCCAAGAACATTAACTTTGAAATTAGAATTTATGAATGTAAAAGGTTACGACTAGAAAAACAAATTTTTTCTCACATATTTATTTACAAGAAAGCAGCGAAAAATTCTTTTCTTAACTGAATGAGAAAGCATTACAAATTCTAGCTAATAACATATATTTTCTGAAAAAAAATGCAAAACTGTTTCTCTCTAGTTTTGGGAGACTTTCTCTTTCACATCTTCCCTCCCCTCGCTAAGTAAAAACAAACGAAAACTATGCTTTGGATAACACTAACCTGTATACGTTTCAGCTTCGAACAAGTTGTGCAGATATTTATTCGGTACGATTCGATATTGTCGCATGCTACTGGTTTTCGTAACGATGTCATCAATCTATAAACAAAAATGAATATTGTGCCATCGAAAATGGATAAGACATGCTAGCATGGGCTGCGGGAGTGGGTGTAAACCCCCCAATAATTGAAAATTTTCATTTCTTTTCAGCAATAGAAGTAAATTTTCTGTACGTTTTTCGCTTTCTTTTGTTGAAAATACCCCTTTATACCCTTCCCCCTTCAATATTCCTTCCATCTCGCCTCATCTCTCCCAGTATTATGTAATTCGCGCGGTCCCTGCATGCTAGTGACCCTTATGTTGAAGTAACAACACGAGAAATATACATATGACGTTACATGCTTGTTTCAGTGATGTCTTTGTGCCTCATCTCTCAGAACATGTTTCGAGAGCGTCCAATGGCTTAAGTTTCTATTTCTGTTCAAAAGAGAAGATTAGTCATGAATACTGATTATCGTCAGGAGTGCCGAATCAAATTAACCACTAGAATCATTATTTCTCGAGCGTGTACAAAAAGGACTGAGAATTCATATCCATCAATCCAACACTACTATTGTCTTTAGTCTAACACCAGCTTGAACTTGATTTCTCTCTGAATATCCAATTAATAGTTACTTTGTAAAAGCTTTCAATCTAGTGAAACTCTAGTAAGCAACACTCATCACTAATTTCTGGAAGCTTGAATGAAGATGAACTATTTGAAATTGCATGTGATTGATGATCTATTTTATATACATACGTGGAATTTTGGGTGCGTGGCGCCATAGTGTTGAATTCGAAATCCGAAAATCAAGTGTTCTATTGCGTCTCCAGACTCCTCCATTAATATTCCTGTAAAAATGCAAGAAAAGAAAAAAATACGATATAGCATTTTATCAGAGACGGAAACGAATTATTTAAGTTCGATTCGATGTACTTTCTCAAATCTTTCATTTGATTCGATTTCCTCATTTCGTATTTAACTCAATTCGACCATTGTAACTTTCAATTAGATTCGGTTTCAATATCTGAAACCCATTAGATCCGTTTATAGAGTTACCACATGGTGTTACTTTTTCTTTATTCAGTCGACAGGCAAATTTAAAAAAAGCCCAGTGACCAATTTCGTGTAACATTGAAAATAAAACAATCGCTGCGTATTTTTCGAGATAATCTAAACTTCCAGACAATGTTGAACTTTCCAAAATCTAAATTAATAAAAAAAGAGAATAGAATAAAATAAAAATATCCAAAGCGTTCAAAAGATATTAGGCACCAGAACAGTTTTAAAGTTTAGATTATGAAATTGTGTTTCATATAAAGGTAAATATTCATGAAAATTCGAACCCGGAAGCAAGTGTTGAGGTGTTCTCTGCTCAATTCTGATGTGTGATATCGATCGACAAACTTAATCATATATACATATAGGATTGAAGTTTATATACCAATACTAAAAGGACATTGGCATTACTTGTTTATTCACGTAGATAATGTCTTCATCGGCTAGAGATTTTCGTCCGTTATACAGACCATAGGCTGAGCAATCATTAACAGCACCCAACTGACTATCTTCTTGAAATATAATTGTTGGCAAGTTCGTCTCAGTAAATACTTGATTTATTTGACTTAATATCGATTGAGGTTCATCGTTCTAAATAAAAAAAAAAACAAGACAAAATGCCGCATTAACTTGATTTGTATTTAGTCTACTGGAAAATCGTATCGATATTCTTCGATTGGAGTAAAATGAGGAATGAAGTTTTTCTGTAAATGACGGTTGCGTAAAATATTTGTTAATGCAGTTAGTGACATTTTTATTATCGGATAGTGATCCATCAAGTCATCGGAAATTCCAAGGTGAAATAAATGGTTTTTCAAATCCAATTCCATACTATTATTTGCCATTAGACTTTCGAGTTTAATTACAATGTAAAATAGAATTCAATTAAATATCTAAGTGAATCATTGGAGAAAAGAAACAATCGTTCGATCAACCTTAAAAAAATATTTTTGCTCATCAACACAGCAACAAAAAACAAAGAAGAACAAAAGATTATTATGTATTATTGGCGTAAAGATATAACCACAGTCTCTTCAAGATGTAAACGCTTAATATTGAATATAGATGTCACATGTAGGGGTGCAATAGTTCAGCTCTAGTTCTGAGCGAGGAACTGTTCGAAAGTTCATTTCGGTAGGAACTGATTGTTTTGAACAGCTCCTTTCAAAAGAGCTGATCTGATCGAACAGCTCTCTCTCAAGAACTGATTGGCATTATGCCAAAAATACTATCCAAATCTATCCATATACTTCAACATTCGTATTAAATTGTTTCTCATAAATGCTTTAAATACCATTTCCAGACAGCGCTGAAAAACCTGTAAGTATCACTTCTGAAAAAATGATAGATAGTTAGAGTTACTAATAGTAAGTAGCTCTCGAAAAATTGTACTTACTATCTTTTAGTAATCTTTGAAAAGTTATAAAGAACTTCCGAAGATGACCCTTGAAAAATTGTATATGTTATTTAAAGTGAATTCAAGAAGATTTTGGGTAGTATTTTTGGCATAATGCCAATCAGTTCTTGAGAGAGAGAGAGAGAGCTGTTCGATCAGATCAGCTCTTTTTGAATGAGCTGTTCAAATCAATCAGCTCCTACCGAAAGAACGTTCGAACAGCTTTTTCCCTCAGCTTAGCTGAACTTTTGAGCTGGAGCTGATGCACCCCTAGTCACATGCATACGAAGTTTAACGATCTTAGCATTTTGTCTTACTAAATATATATCTATTTAATGGACTTGAAAAACTATTTAATTATGATTGTGATAATATCATTATAATCAATTGACCAATTAATAAACAGTTCAAAAGGATATTAATTTTGTAACATATTTTCAAAGTTGTGAATGAATTCGATCAGAGCTTTCATCTGTTAAACGTGTTACAGAGAGCGATAGTGAGTTTCTGTTTCATTCAATAAAAAAAAATTGAATAGATAATATAGATATTATAAAGGATTTAAAATACCTGCTTGATTAATCTTTTTTTTAATATACGATTAAAATTTTCAGTAATTTCGTTTTTGAATAAAATATCCTTTCGAGTAAATATTTTCATAAAGATCATTCTTATTACATAAACTATTCATTGTATCGATATTGATATTTTTGAATGATTGAATAAAATATTCAAATAATCTATTGAATATTTCATTGAAAATAAATCTTATTGAAAAATCGTTCATGATCATTTTTATTTTTTTATCTATAATCAATTATGAATTTCTAAAATGTTTTATTTTCTTTGCAAATCATTTTGGCGAATATTATTCTTAAATGTTTCGGCCTTAAATTCGAATTTAGTTTTTAAAAAATGAAGAATGCAATTGAAATATTTGTTGATAGAATTTCAATTATTCAAACGTTCTTAGAGTGATCTTTTTTTTAATCTTTTATTAATTGTTATAAAAAATATCAACATAGAAGAGAAAAATAAATTGTCGTTTAACGAAAATATCTGATAAAATATCGAAATAAGCTTGAATAGCATAATGATCTGAACAATAACGTTTTATTCCTGGTAATTCTTCGAAAACTTCAAGTTCAGAATAGACTGGTTTAAATTGTTTTGTATTCTGATTTGATGGACGAAAGTAAAGACGATCAAAACGTGCTCGAGGTCGATAAGTATCAAATGGATAAAAAAAAAAACATTTGTATTCCGATTCATATCCCATGTATATGCACATTCTTTGCGTTTGCCTGTTTCAATCGAAAGATCGCCAATGCGTGTTGGAGTATTACCGACTTGTTGTAGCTAAAATAAAATAGACATTGGATTTTAGTAAAATATCTTAACAATCAATAATGCGTTGGGTGTGGGGTGGTTGTGAGTCTTCCTCTCATTCGTATCTACACGCACACCCACACACCCTTTAGTCCTGCCCTGCCCTGCAAATTCAGAAGAATTGTTTTCATGTTTAATTTTAAGTTTAAGTGATTTTCTTAATTTGAAATATAATTAAACAAATAGACGAATGATTAGCAAATAATAAATTATTCCTAATTGAAGAAGTATATATGATGAAGATACACCACCACTGGTGATCCGCAGTAAATATATTTAATGAAGAGAATAAAAACTTCATTTTCATCTCCAGCAGAGACAAATAATATATCAATACATGAATCTATCGACGATGATAGCGATGTATAGTTTTATTGAAATAATACGATGAGCAACTATTACGATTATAAATATATGTGTACTATTATGATTTCTTTATTATTTTCCTACCACTTTGATTGAGCCTTACGGTCATCATATACAAACATAAATATAATGAAATAATCTATTTACCAATTTATAACACCATCTGACTTTTTTTAGTTTCTTTCACGCTTCCGAGAAAAATAAAATTTCTGCTATTTTCGAATTAAAGTAAGTATATGCAGAATTTGCAGGGCATGGAGGTATAGCCCTGCCCTGCAATTTCCCTCTTTCCGTCGTACCCTGTACACAGCAGAGCATTTTTGAATTTCTGCCCTGTGGGCATCTCTGATGTTTTTTGCACTTTGTGGTCGAGTGAAACTAAAATGTCGTCTAGTTCTTCTCGTGTTTTTTGTTACAATATTTCATAAATGAAAAATATTTAGTTGTCTCGACGTATTTTACTGTTATTGGAACAATTTACAGGAAAGGAAAATATTGGTGATAATTTTCTGGACGATCAAATGGTTCACATACATCAAAACTTTTCAATTTATCGAAATAAAAATGTGTTGCATCATTGGTAAAATTATTTGTTATTGTTGTCAGTGATTTGTATTCCACGGAGAGATTTAACAAACGAGGTAGATGAATATTCTTTTTCAAGAGAAACAATTCTGCTTAGCCAACAGTTGTCAGTGTGAGATCAAGACATGTGAGATAAGGAAATGTAATTAATGTTGAGGGTGCGGGTGTGAGTGAAGGTATATTTATTATTCACACTGACACCCGCACCACCCACCCACTCCCACACCCACAGCCACCCACACCCTTCGTCTTTGAAATTCGTTCTCTGGTCGTTTTCTCTATAAAACCAAGAGAACGGTGTTGCAACTTAACCAAATAATAATTCGAAAATTACTTTACACTCCGGAGCTCAGTCCTATCGTTTTTATTGGACGTCGGATACAATTTATTCGTTACAGCGCAGCACTCCAGGAAAATTCCTTCCTTTCCTTCTTTTTTTGAATTTTCTTCTTTTTGGTACCTCCCTGCTGCGATCCCTGGATGTTACTTTATACGGAAGTTGTTTGATTAAAACAGTTACGTTATTTAGTGAAAAATAATTATCAATTGATTCATCACAAGATCAAACAATAAACTGTATATATGAATTCCCTCAGTATATGAAAATAACAAAATAGCTGAGTACAATACATTCAAGTCAAGAAAAATAGATTCAATCAGTTACATATACAATATATCCTGATTCGTTTTTGATAGCTGAACTGCATCGCTTCAAATTGAAATTTGCAATCGAAGAAAGTTCGAATGCTCTCTACTATTTTTACGGAGTTTATGTATTTATTGAGCGTTTACTAATTATGATGATATTTCAACAAACTCCAGATCAGGATGGTTACTCCATGAATTGTATGAAGAAAAGGATTAACTGTCGAAATTGAGATAAATGAAAGATTCAAGATAGAAGATAAATTACATATAAAGGATATAAAAAATCGCACGTATTGTGCCTTACCAATTTTTCACATAACACACCTAATGTGTCTCAATAGTTAAAATGAAAATAATTTGGAGAATTCTGTTTGCTGTACTGTTTGTCGACGAAAGTTGTTGTGCTGAGTTTTCTCGAAGAAATGGTTTGCTTTACAACATGACAAGGCTTTTTCTAATGCCGTTTCTACTGATCTTGCTTCCGCCTTCTTTTTAATTCATTTTTTTTCAAAAATTTTTCATAGATGCCCTCTCTTGAGAAGGATTCTACATATAGCAACATTAAAAACTTCACAGCAATAATGCATGACGATTTATAAGTAAGAGTGCAAGGATATCAAAGCGAAAACCTTCTATTTATCTGAGAATTTCTTTAGTTTTTGTTATTGCTGCTCCATGTTTCGAACATTTGGGTGTCAGTAAAATTATGAATTGGTTATTCAACAATAAGATGAACACAAAGAACAATGACACTTCGATCATCTCAAATGAGCATTGAAGAAGCAACACATTAACCGTAAAATAATATATTTTTTCTTTTTACCGAATACAGTCTAGAATGTCCTTTCAAAAAATGTCCTCGGACGAAATGTCCTTCATTTTTTCGTTCTTTCATGTATATTTATATGTAAGGACGGAAACGAAAAGGACATTCTAGACTGTTACCTTTTTACCTTTGTTTAGTTAATAATTCAATTAGTGCGGAAAACGCAGCACAACTTTAGTTAATGTATATTTAAAGAAACGCAGCTGAATGTTTTTAAATTGGAATGATCTTTTTGCGTTGATTTTATGTTGTTGTCAATTAGAGTTATTTTTCATCTGGCGTCGTTCGCTTATTTTTTTCTCCAATGATTCGTTTACTTTGCAGAATGACAATGCTTTTATTCCGCTACTGTTTGCTTTGCGTCTTGTTTTTATTTCTTTGAAATCTTTTTGATCATACCAACTTTCGAGAAGGAATTCACATAGTAACATAAAAACATAAAAAAGAATGGATTACGTCTCATGACAAGCAAGCTAAAAAGATCCAACTGCAATTCAATGCAATGTTTTATTAGAGATAATACACAGATAGATCATTGCTAGAGAATAAGTTGATAATTTTATTAAGTCTAATCTATTTACCCACTGTCTGATAGCGACATTAAAAACTTTAATTTCATAAAGCATCATGTAGATCCTAATATTTGACTTCTAAATCACGTTGAAAATTTCCATGAATATCTTTCGTCGACACGTTGATTAGTTATTAAATCAAGCTATTTACTAGAAGAAATTATTAAACGACTAAATCCATGTTACATGCACTACGTGTTGGATTTTGGCAAAGAATCGACCTTGAATGAAAGGACAATAAGACAGTTAAGATTAAACAGGGTGTGGCTGTGGCTGTGATATTGGGTGGATTCAACACTCACACCCCACACATTCAATTAAATATGGCTCACTTGAGACAACGATGACGATCAACCACAACTAAAACTAAACGCCGCATAATAGTATATACAGGGCTGGCCCGAACTAGGGTTGTTGGGGTTGTGACAACCCCCCAATAATCGCGATGCAACCCCAAATTTTAATTAAATGTATCCATATAAAAAATTTTCATTTATAGTTTACCTGCAACAACCCCCCAAAAATCTCTGAACAACCCCCCAATATTGACTGAGTCGGACCAGTCCTGAGTATATACATCGATTTTATGACTAGTATAAATTGTATAACTAGACTTAAGAATTTTAAAATATTCAACAGTTCTTTTTTATGATTCTCATTATATGAAAACCAATATAATTGTGCATTTGAATTTCTTTAGTTTTAAATAATGTGGCTTTTGTGTGTGCCATATCAAAAATTGAAAATATTTTATGATCTTTTGTTAATGAAAGGACATTCTTTCTCATGTATTCGATAGTAGCGCATAAACAATCATTGACATTCATCTTGCTTGTCAATAACATATTTAAGTAAAACAAAAAGCAAATATTTGTTGTCATATGTTGCATACAATTCAGATATTCGATGTAATCTCTACGCGTCTTGATAAGATTATCATTTGATTATTCAAGATTATCAAACTAAGTACTTTCGGATGTTCCTCTCAAAGTAGTATGTTGTTCTCGTTTGCTAGTTATAAAATACGAGGAAAATATAGTATTGTGAAGTGATTCGTTTGATTATATGTCTTTGACTAATGAACAAATACCAGCTTGATTTCCTAGAAAAATGAAAATAAAAGAGAATTTTCGAGCACTATCGATGCCTATAACAGTTTATCATTTTGTTGAATGTTAATATCGGGTCCACCATAAGGAATGGCGGTCTCAGTATTTTGTGAATATCTCACGCAGCTTTTATCGCCCAGACTTCGTCTTTTATTAAAAAGATTCCGCATTCAGTTCTCTACAAAATCACAGGAAAAGAGTTTATACAAAATGTAAGTGTGAAACCCTATGTGGTGAACACTCGTACGTGGTGAAAAGACCCCTTTTCAAATGCTCATTTTCGCAATATTAATTTTCTTTCTTCCTCTGGCTACTCAGGCGTCGAACCATTGAGATCCACATTTCTTGCTGTTTGCAAGCATCCTCTTTCTCATAGCACTCGAGACGAGTCGCTTGTATAAGACCAAGCGATTCCAGGGTTAGTTAGCCTTGAAAAGCGAGTTGGAATAATTGAACATTTTTTTCTCATACACAATGTGTTGCCAAAACGAAGTGTAGGCCAATTAAGCTATTCGACTAGTATAGAAAAAGCATTGTTCTTCGAACTCGGAAAAATTTGACCATATAAAGTTATGTTGTGACCTTACCACATGAAGTTCACGATGAAGTCTCATGGCGAGTTCGAAAAACAGGAACGTCACAACAGAAGAGAAAGCTTCTATTCATGCACGTTTCAAAGTTTGAATTTTTCAATCACCGCCCGGCTGATAGGCTTTTTCAAGAGCTACAAAATGGCATCTTCAATTTTTCTATATCAACTCCTACACCAGCGTGAATGCAACAAAACGAAAAGAAACATCTTTGAAAGCGGACCGTTTCAGAGCATACCAGTGTTTACCACAGAGGGTTTCACGCCTAAATCTTGTGTAAACTCCCTTCATACGATTTTGTAGAGAACTGAATGCGGAAGCTTTTTAATAAACGACGAAATCTGGGCGATAAAAGCTGCGCGAGATATTCACAAAATACTGAGACCGCCATTCTTTATGGTCGACCCGATAGATTGATAGTGAGCTAGAATAAATAGTATGTAAGATTAATGACTCAATAGGTCAAACCTATATAATCAATAGGCAAGATATCTCGATTTGATACAAGATGAGATTTATGCTGCATCGATCCCTTCTATTACTCTACTTAGTGGGTATTACTTCAAGTGATATTCAATTCCTTGTTGTTGATCTCCATTAAAGGTAATAGATTTTTCTAATCTGCGTAAATGAAATTGAGCGTCACTAATACATTATTTCAATATAATCTCTGATCATAAGTAGAATACAGTTAGATAAGTCCATAGAAGCTTTTAGGGAGAACGTTCACCACCAAATACAGTATGGCCACATCCTCAAGAAATGCATGTTGCCAATGAATTGGGTAAGGGTGTGGGTGTGCGCAGAAGGTTTCTAGATTTCGTTATCCATAAGACACCCACGCCACACCCCACACTCACACCCTAAAAAAATGTGTTCATTTTTATAAGAAGCTCAAACAATAATCGATAAATGTGCTAGCATTATGTCTTTGTGACGTCTGTTTATAAAAACACATTTCAAAAACAAATTAAACTAAATTATTGTTAGATTAGCTGTAGGGATGGGACTTTAACTTTTCTTTAAAATTAAAGTTAAAGTGTACCTACTTTAACTTTGAATTTAAAGTGAAGTGAAAATAAGGGTATTTTAGACTTTAACTTCAATAAAAGTTAAAGTTTAAAGTTTAATTTAACTTTTACTACTTTCTTAAAGTATTTTAAAGTTAAAGTGTTGCCCCTAATTAGCTGTTCTAACTTCTACTGGAAATGGCGCTTTTACACACTGAAACAAAAGTCTTTATATATCCTCAGGTCGATCGTTCCGGCCACCGGATACTGCAGGAAAGAGCCGGAAAAACCTCCGATTCCCACAGGAAAACACCGGAAATCAACGGAACGTGGAAGTAGTATTCCGGCCCGAAAATTTTCGGACATTTTCCGGATGACTTTCGGCCAGTTCCTGTCGGAAAGAACAGGAATTCTCCGGAAAAAAAGTTCGAAATTTTTCCGGCGGGAATACTGCTTCCACGTTCCGTTGATTTCCGGTGTTTTCCTGTGGAAACTGGTCCGTACTCTTCGACCTGGGTCGTATTGTAGTGTACAGTTCAGTTCTTTACTCTGTTAAGTTACTGAGTTATGGCAACGTCACTGTCTAAAACAAGTGGGTACACCTAGGGGGAAACAGCAGACTTTTGCACTTCAAGTTACTTTCAGCTACTTTAAGCTACTTTAAGCTACTTCAAGTAGTTTACTTTGAAGTACTTGAGATTACTTCAGCTACTTGGTCCTACTTTGAACTACTTCAAGCAGTCTACTTTGATGTACTTTGACGTACTTTTCTACTTCAAGTCTGCCGTTTCCCCCTTGGGGTACGCTATCAATGAACCACTTGCAGACTATCCCAACACATAAATATTGATTTTGTATCTCTTTCTCTAAACGATTCAGATATATTTTTAATCATATACGATGACAACCGTTGAAGAAAACATAGAAGAACTACAACTACAAAAAGCTATTCGTCGATTAATCAAAAAACTTGATAAACGTTTGATTCCTTTTCTCATGTTACTAGAATTTTCTGCGTTCGGCTCTGAAATGATTACAGGTATTCTTGATATTTTTCTGATTGCAATTTTCCGAATGATGGCATGTTTTTAGGGCATACAGAACTAACCACATTGAAAGCTGACCTCAACTTATCTCCAGAAGAAGAGAGTTTGGGCGTTACTTTGTTATATGCAGCCTATGTAAGTTAACATGAAGTCTCTTTTATCCTAAACACAAGCCATGCTTGTCGATTGAACGAAGTAGTATTGAAAACTAAACTTGAGAATTCATTGAAAAATTCGTGTCAGATGATAAGCCAATATATATTGAAAACAACACTTTCTTTTTGCCGAATTAATTAACAATATTTTAGAGAAGTAAGGAACAAAGTAATCAACTTGATTACGTTCCTGAAGTCTCTGAAATTAACACACAATATTTTGAATACAGCATGCATTTCTGGAAGAAATGGATATCGTCTTCAATTTCCCATTGAAAAAGACTCGAAACTTTTGCGTCAAGTTCATGGTGTTTGTTATTTCTAAAATATTTTTTATAAAAAATGATGACCAAATATTGTGGTTGAAGATAATTCATTGTTTCGCCCTCAGTCTTTTGCGCTCCGGTCGCATATTTTCGGTCATTATGACGATAGGGGTCTCTTCTATCCTATTTTCACTAACAATATTAATTTATCATTTATTTCTGGATTATGCTCTCGGTAAATTTATTCTCTTTTTATATTTTATTTTGAGGCACTATTTGGAATTCCTAGTTTTATTCTATTACGTTTTCTGGGTACGAAAATTTACTTATCACTATGCATGATCTTATGGGGAGCAATTATGATTGGTACGGCTTTTGTAAGAAATGTAAAACAATTGTTTGTTGTCCGTTTTCTTCTGGTAAAGTAATTCGGAAGTAGAAACATAATGATATTCTCTAATTTAAATTTTGAAGGGGATGGTCATATCAGCACATTTTTCTGGTCTTACCATTTATCTTTCTCTATGGTACCGAAAAGCTGAGCAAACAATGAGAATCTCGTTCTTCCATGCAGGTGCTATTCTTGGTTGTAGTTTCGGAGCGATCATGGCAAGTATTGTTTTGAAATCATTAATTTTGATTCTTTTTTTAAATAACTTTGAATATGTGTTTTACCCCTTGAAGTGAACTCAATAGAAAATAAATTAAAAAATATGTTTCTTATCGTAGTCATACGGAATCACTAAAATCAGCAGTATTGTTGGTCTGAAAGACTGGCAATGGATCTTCATGTTTGAGGGTTTACCCATAACTGTACTGGGTATTATTATTTACATTTTTCTCGGCAACATCCCAGAAACTGTCCAATGTAAAAATACAAACTAAAAGTGAAAATAATTTTGAATTTTCTTTTGGGAATTAAGGGTTAAACAATTGCGAGAAAGAACTTCTGACAAATATTCTTCGAGAGGATGCGGGTAAGGCAAATGGCGAACCGAATTCTGATTCTTGGATTTCATGGCGACAAGTAAAATATGCGCTTACTGATCGACGAATTTATCTTCACATGTTAATCGGCATTGGCAATGTGACTCCTATTTTATGTTTTACGTTAGCCCTACCGTCATTGCTTCATGGTATCAACGCATCGGCGCCTTTAACTCATTTGATGGTAGCACCTATGTATGTTATTGCTTGTGCATCTTGTTTAGTGGGAAGTTATTCATCGTCACTTCATAATGAACACGGTTTACATACTGCCACCTGTTTATTTATTTCTTTGATTGGTTTCATTATACTGATATTCGTAGGCGATCAGAGTAAAATAGCAATCTATATCAGCAGCTGCATTGCTTGTTGTGGTATGTATACAGCATTTCCAATAGCCTTAAGTTGGTTGACGAAAAATGTTGGTGGTCATACGAAACGAGCCATGGCTATCTGTTGTGTCCATGCTGTAGATCATTTAGGTGGAGTTTTAAAATTTGTAGTGAGTACTTGAGAGTTTTTAACATAATTCGAGAATTAAAATTAAAAGAAAACATTGGTTTTCCCAAGGTATATCCTGAAGTTGATAAGCCAATTTATCGAAAAGGACATTCGATTTGTGCAGGAGTCACTGCAGTTGCTTTGTTGAGTACTTTTATTTTACGTCGAAGCATGATGAAAGAAAACCAACGACGACAATTTCTATCAGTAGATGAATATCGTAGAGAAGTAGCTGTTGAAGAGCCATGCGACAAAGTAAAACTGATGCCATATTTAAAAGAAAAAAATCATTTTTTGTTTTATTTTAGCATCCAGATTTTCGATACGTGCTATAAAACTGAAGATGAAAAACACTAGATATCATGTTATATTACTGAAATATTAAAATAAAAATAAATAGTCTTACTGAAAAGGACTCATCCGATTTATCGAAAATACAAATAGTGCTATATATCCACTAGAATTTTAATTTCAAATTTTTTCCGCACTTCAGGTCGTTTTCTTTCATTCTTCGGACAATCGGCTTTAAGCAATACGAGAAGCATAAGTATTCACTAATCCTTTCTACTTGCATTTTCAGTGAATATGAAAAAAAGAATAAGAATGCGATCTATTCCGTTAGATAAAGCTTATAAAATTATCTGTTCCGAAACTGAAGACAAATGCATTGTGTTTGAATAAATGGAGTTTGGACAAGCCTAAAACCACTACCGTTTCAGAAAAAACATACCGTATCGACTTTAAATGGCGTTGCTTTTCAGATGAATCATTACTCATCATACACAGTTTTCAATTGTCATACTAGTCTTTGATTTATATACTACTGAAACAAAAGTCATGTTAATTCGACGTAAATTTTCTCAACTAAACCTTGATCGGCCGAAAGTAAATATGAACACCACTTCGTCAATCAGACTGATGTCACTTCGCTCGTTATTACAACAATCTATTGAAACTAAATTTATTTGGCTATTTCAAAGTAACACAAAATTATTGGATAGGATACAATGCTACGAATGGATTCCATACTCTGATGAAATATTGTTATCCTTAGAAAATGCTTTCAAAAAAGGTGCTGACAAAATATTTATTGACGAAGTTCATCACATCGATTTTATTGAATTGTTAGAGTTATCGATTAATGATCCAACACATCGACGGCCAGTTCGACGATGTCTCATGAATGAATCTTCAGAAATTGAAAGAAGATTAAACGTCGATTTTTTTCGTTGTGACCGATTATCATTTCCTTTGCTTATGAATTTACAACAGAATACTTTTGTGGACACAGCTTATCATGGTTCAAAATTCGTTCGAGATTGGCTATTGAAATTTACAAATGGAAAACTGGAAGTGAAATATGATCATATCTTTCCTGCTCTTATCGAAGGCTTGATATTCGAAGGACGTAATGAACCTAGAACTACTGTCGATGAAATTATACGTATGTTAAATTCAAGTAAAGATGAATCTTTGAAAGCGGATGAACATAAAAGAATGAAAAATCTACAAGATTGTTGTATCAAACTATATACAAAACAATGTTTTCTCTTTCGATTAGTCAATACTGCATTACGAGATGATGATCGGACGAAACTTGATACACTCGGTCCTTATTGTTATCTTGTTTACAGTTGTATTGGTCGTCCTATGAGTAAGCAACGCCTTTTACAAAAATTGAATCGCAAGAAATCTAAAACAATGACTGTCTATCGTGGAGATTATGCTCCACGTAAAATGATTGAAGAATATCGACAAGCAGTGGGTCAAAAAGACAAATATTTTAAATGGTTGCCATTTGTTTCGACATCAATGGATCGCCTGGTTGCCGAACTTTTTGCGTTAAATGTTTTCTATATCATTGCAATTAAAAGGTACTTATCCATGGATCAATACGCAGATCTGGAAAAAAATACATATTTTGAGAGTGAACAAGAAGTTATACTAAAGCCTGGAACACGATTCCAAGTGATCAGTATAGATGTTGATGATGTTTCTGGTCGACAAGTTGTGCATATAAAAATAATCCCATCATATATATCCATTTTGCGATAAGAAGTTTTGTTATTGAATGCATGTACAATGTATTCGACATAGCTTTTTTATTTCGAATAAAAGTTTTGTGATTTGCAATTCTGACAGACAGTCTTATAGAAGAAATAAGGAGTATATTTTGTATTGTGTTAATATTATCATTGCGAAACTATCTATTATTGGGTGTGGGTGTGGATAAAGAAATCTAGAAACCTTCTGCGCACACCCACACCCACATCTTTAAAATCCTATGTGCCGTTTTTATTGTAATGCAGAGCCCTGATGAGTGTTTCAATATATTAATAAATAAACATGAAACGCGTGGGTTAATTGAACTCTGCATTTATTTTTATCGAATTCCAGTACATAATCTAAACTAATTATTACGACTATGTTGATTACTGAAAAGTAAAAGTTGAGATTAGCAGGGTGTAGGTGTGGGTATATTTATTATCCGCACTCACACCCTTTCCCCCTTTCCTCACACTCACACCCAACATTGAAGACGTTTACACTTTCGACTTTGGATATTTTTATGAAATGCCTCGAAGAAGTAAAGGCTTTCACAAACTGTTTTCTGTACAATGCAACCACATCATTTCCCTGAGGACCAGGTGCTTTTCTAAGAACTTCTTCTGTTACGCAGTTGGTCAGTAGTTCAGCACCTAGAGGCAATGAATATTCAGATATTCACAGCGTCCACCTATTGCATTCGCAATCGTTTGAAAGTTAGCTGCTGCACTAACATGAAGGTAAAATGTATGTACAGGAATATTTTGGTCCTTTACTTTTCGCAATTGTTCTTTATAATGCGTTGTTGTTTTATATTTAGTCTTATTCCAATATGCTTCACCACCGTTTGCTTGCCTATCGCTCTTTATTACAGGTTTTTCCTTTGCTGGAGCGTCTCCTAACAGAATAACTTGAGATATTCTATCTGATTCTTCATTCTGCTAAACAGCAGGCCACAACGCAATGCCAATTGCTTCTTCATAATCACCTCCCATGTAACTTTAATATTTTGCATGAAAGATCTCAAATTTCTATCCTTACTTTCCCAAGAAGAACTCTGCAGAAGGTTCTCTTCTTTGCAATCATAGTCTCGGTAGATAACGAATTGCATTTGAAATGCATCACTGGCTATTTCGTTTTGTTAGAATATCAGCAGCACGTTTAAACATAGTACAAAGTGTTTCTTTCGCAGATGACAACAAGTGACCCATAGAACCAGTATCATCGATGAGTAAAACTGTACGCGAACATCTTTTATTAATATTAGCGGGTGTGGGTGTGTATCAGTCTTGCTCTTAACTACAACCCACACTTACACCCACCCCATAAATTAATTAAAAACTCGTTCCAAAATACTTGTGGGCGTGCATTCCTCAACCATGAAGCTCTATATTATCACGAGCTTGATGGTGTGCGTGTGCGTGTACGTGTGTGTATCAATCTTACTCTTAACTACAACCCACACTCACACGCCCACCTCATGCCTTCTCGGCTTGTTTTGCACGGCTGCCCAGTCAGACAAAAGTCTTCGAAAAACGCGTTATAACACGTTAAAATGTCGCTAAAGCGGCGTTTTAACAGTGGCTCACCGCGAATACGCCGTTTTAATGAAATCTTAACGTGTCTTAATGCGTTACACGCATAAATATTTAACGCTTTCATGTTGTAACGCGTTAAAACACGTTAAAATTTCATAAAAACGGCGTATTTACGATTTCATGCGTTTTCTCATCTACATCTCTTAATAGATTTTCTTACGACTCACATCCGAGCCCTCTCCAGATAAATATGTGCCTCTTTAACACATGCGCATATAAATATTTTCAGAATTTGTGAACATTTTTTTTTAAATCTGGGAAATATATACGCTATAGAGTGCTAAAAAATTCAACCAAAAAGTTTTAAAATGTTTTTCAAATTCTTTTTAAAGAAATATATTTCTAACATTAATTTTTCATAATTTATTCAAATATTAAAAAAATCTTGAGAAATATATTGAAAAAAAAATTGTATCTTTTTTAAAAAAGTCCTTGAAACTCCGAAAACTTTTTTAAATATTAAAAAAGAATTTTTATTTCCGAAGAAATAGTTTTTTAAATGAAAGATATTGCTATTTTTTTTGATGAAAACTAAAAAGGTAATAACAATTGTTCGTCTTAACTTTATACCACCTTCAGATTTCTATAAAATTTCGTTCGATTTAAATAGTATGTTTTACTTCAACTTGCTATTGTACGATTGACCGAATGGATAACATCTCGGACTATCAACCTATACATCTCATGGTCGAATCAGGACCGCGCAATAAGTTCCAAAAACTTTAACTATAATCTGGTAGATAAACTACAAGAGAAAAACGTTATGAAATACATTATAAACTCAAACGGAAAAGAATTTTAAGGGTCTTACCTTTTTTTGATTCATCTTTTCTGAAAATCTATTAACAGGTTAAAACGCGTTACACTTCTGAACGTTAAAAAATGCATTACTGTCTTAACGAAAAAAATATCCAAAAAAATGTGCGATTTTTCCGATTTATTATCCGTTCAAATTTTAACGTGTTTTAACACGTTTTTTTTAAAGGCGCTTGTCCGACCGGGTGCGCTGCTCATCGACTGTTTATGTTATTTGTCCATCGCTCCTTATCAATACGACAAATCGATCAATTCTGAATTCTAAATATATTTCACAATGCAAAAAAACTGATGTACGTATTTAGCTTTCACTAATAATAAAAATATTGAAAACGGTTAGAAGGATTTTATTTTCGAATTTTAATGCCGCACGACTTAGTGGATTTTTTAAAAACTATCAATCTTTCACTGCTCATGAAAAGAGAAGGCTCAAAAGAAATTTGCTTTTTGTTTTTATTCTTTTATAGATTGTATCGATTGGATTGTGCTTGATTTCGATTATTGATATGTGCTGCTACAAATTTACTAAAATCGACATATCCAGGTTAAACATTACGGTCCGTTTACGACTGTTTACGGTGAAAATACGACGTATTAACGACCTACACACGGCTCAAAATGCGGTGTCATATACGGTGTCGCATTACTGTTGTAATGGTATTTACCGATACGCCTCACTTCATGTAGTTTATCCTCTTCGCTGTATCCTTATGTTCCTACATTGACCTGATGAACTCTCATTGTTCCATTGTGTGACCGTTTCCTCTTTGTCTATATCCACCCAATCGTGATCACTCTCGTGTATATAAGGGAATGTAGCTAAAGGAAATGCACGGCTAGAGATGTGCAGATGACACAATACACCATCCTGCCGACTGGCATAGGCGACACTCTATGTTCGCCACAACTGTGTCGCGTATTACGAGAAAATACGGATAATTAACGACCGCCAAGTAGTCGTTTTTATATCGTTTACCCACGAAAAACGGACTGTAGACGTATCCCGTTTTGATCGACCTAAGTAGATACAACGATAATGATTCAAAATTTTCAACTTGTAACTGAAACTAATGAATGTGTGCATACAACTACAGAAGATATTGAAACTACAATATGAAGATGAGACTTAATTTTTTTTTGTAATTTTCATGCATCTTGCGGTCAGATCCTTTTTTGAAAAAAAGATATATCCTGTGATCATTTCATGTTTTTTTATTTGATATTATATTGATTCTTTTCAGATAGAAAAAAAATGCATCATGAATACATCATAACATTTATTTACTGATCTTTACGTCTTCAAATAAATGAGCAAACAACGATATAAGTTAAAATAAGATTATTTTCATTGACGGCATTTTTTTGAGAATAATATCTTGAAAATAGTACCGTAATATTAAATTTATGAAACAATCTATCTCGTCAAAAAGAATTCCAATTTCAAGGGTTTTTAATAAGTATAGGATACTTTAAATTTCAATAAACTCTATTTTATTGAATAATCTTCTTCAATTGAGTAAGATCTTTGAGATATTCCAATGATGATTTTAATAAAATAAAAATTGCTTAGTTTTATATAGAAATTATCAGTGTAAGATTTGATGTTTGGTAACTCGTAGCTAGGTTTTGCTAAGTTAACTGTTTGTTGAGTAAGCATAAAAATGGGTGTACTATAGTGTCTATCGATGTCATTCTTTCTTGGTTTATACTTTTTATATGTTATACAGTTATTTGATATTCTAGTTAAAAAAAATGACATTCACGAGTTTGTCCCATTGTTCATATTTCTTTGTCTTAAAAACAGACTACCACCACCGTCTATTGAAGTTTCGAAAGTTGGTGAAAAAAGAGATCGTAGTAGGTCATCAAAATTCCAAAAAGTATGACTCATTCAATAAATTTCTGTTACTAGTATTGAAAGTATTTGTACTGAAATAAGCTGATAAAAAACTAGACAAAAGAGAAAACCAGTGGCGTGAGTTTTTCTTAATTAATTACTGAGCCATTAAACTGGTGATAATCACACGGAGATGGTCTATACAATAGGGATTTTGTTTAGATGAATATTGAAGAAATTCATACGAACGTTTTACTTGAATCCGGCGAAGAAAGTCGTGAATTGCATTCCCCCTGGACCCTTCATTTCCGTCCATTCATCTTTATTCCGGGTTGGATTGCCTACTTTGTGCTCTTCATGGTCTTGTTAAAAAGTATCATTGATTTTATTGTATGTAAATAATATTTGTCATGCATAGCATAAGTTATATTTCAAACGATTTATAGAATACAACAGCTGGTTCAACACGAATACTGGGTTATGTTATATTTGTTATAGCCTTATTTGCGGTGCCATTACTAATTAAACGTGGCGTCGAGTACTTAATAGATATGAAGGCAAGTCAATTTTTGTAGAAAAATAATTCATTTTGTATATTATTTAGTAAAGAGGATGATATTTTCCGATAGTTAAATTCTCATTGCTATTTCTCTATAGATTTCAGGAAAAATCTTCATAGTTTATTACGATGAATTTATATTTGTTTCGGATGAGAATCTACTATTCGTTTCATTTCTTTTCTAGACGATCTACTGCATTTACAATAGATGTTCAAAGTCAACAGATAGACAATCTGAAAATTCACCTCTTTTATATGGTATTAAATCTTATCTTCAAAAACTTAATTATTTGTGTTGTTTCAAAGTCAAATATGAATGCGAGTCAAATGAAAGTGTTTTTCCTGTGGTTAGCGTCGTTTAAAAGGCGTTTGGTTTTTCTTGTATATACGTACATATATTGTTTGTTTTGTCTCATGAATTAATGTACATTGTTTTAGTACGTAATCTTGATGTTGTCATTTTTTTTTACTAGTTAATTCAATAATAAACTATCTATTATACACGAAATGACCCTTGTTTTATTTGTTCTGCTGATTAAATGATTATTAAAAAAACTTTGTTTTATTTTTATCGCAAAAAGATATTTATGGGAAGAAAGACGAAAGTAAATTTATTTGAATACATCTACAAATAATAAATTTTCTAAACTGCTAATTCTCATCAATATTGTTTATTCAAGTGTCATAGACTATTTTTCACTCTAATGATTCTATTACATTAGAAAAAATCGAATAGATTTGACCTACTAATTTAGCTATGCATCGAGATTATCATTCAGATAATATTTGAATCAGATTTTTTTCATTTAACAAAAATACTGATAGAGAATTCGACTAAATTGTAAAACTCATACGTACGCTTTAGACTTACTAAGCTAATACAAAATAGCTCAAGTAAAGATTCTACCTTATTTTTCAAGATCTATAATTAGGGCATTAGCTGTTTGCTTATCTCAGTACTGAGGGTTAGTTGTTCGCTGATATCTCTAACGGTAGTTGCTTCTCTCGTATAGTCTGAAATGATACGAAGGAAGAAATAGCAGTCTAATGAGCACAATTATGAACTCATTAATGTTTGTAATGAGGAGAGGAGCCGCAAAAATTCGCACTTTTAAACTTACACTCATCGTTTTCATCGAGAATATATGTGACTTTCACAAAATAATTTCGAAGCTATTGAGAGTGATTTCAAAAATGGTGACCATGTGAAAAAGTTTATTTGAATATATTTTTCACGGGAATATATCTATCTACACCGTTTCTTATATCATCGACATTCTTTTTCGCAAGGACGGCGCTCGATATTTTTCTATCATACCGAAAATAAATCAGACATTCATTGAGCCGCTCAATACTTCAAGACAGGTTGAACAAAATCAATCAAATGAAGCAACATTACAAAACAAGAATAAATCATTTAGTTCACTTCATTTGAAATCTAGATAGTTTCTTTTTTTTAAATGAATCAAGATTGACACTCTCAAAGAAAATAAAAACACTATTTGGAGCCTAAAAATATCAGTCGAAAAGAATATAATTTAGCTTAAGAGTAAGATCTCCGAACTGAATGACGTTTTGATGTGTTACAAAGGCCGTTGAGTCATTTTCTCCCTGAAATATTCAGCTTTATTCGATAAGTTTTGATGTTGAAATTACTGATTGTGGGTCTTGGTCGCACTCAACTCAACTCGTTGCTTCATATAAAAAATCTGAATTCTAAACTCATCTCGAACATTAGATTGTACGTCTTCTTTTCAATGAATAGTATTGAAATAGGTCAACGCTCAATGTGAAGTTTAGAAAGAAATCTGTTCATGCATTGTTGTAGTTAGGGATATATTATTTGTCTTTCATCAGTGAAAAACCGATGCTAGTCATCATTTTATGAAACATTTGTATTAGATTCAATTGAAAGTGATCGCTTTCATCTGAAAAACTAGCATGTCAATTAGTTCATTAAAATATGTATTTCGTTGCTATCTAACACACTAACAACTAATTATTCATTTATGCATTGATACTAATTGATTTTCACCACGTCTTAGCTCCATCTTCATCCATATGTGTGTATAAACTATTACTATTTATTCGATTTATAATTGCGAACTTGAATATGTGTTCTACATGGCTGGTGGGAGAGAAATGATTTATAAAAATAGAAGTTTGAATGTAAAAGAAGAATCGAAAAGAAAATGTAATCAAGTCTCAACAACATATGAGTCACAATCAAATGCTCTTAAATATGGTTCTAAGTGATTATACTTGGAAGATGCTAAGGCCAGCATTTGAATTTGTTATCTGTTTGATGATAGTGCTTATTGAAGCTCGAATTTATAACATGAAATTCGTAANCAACAACCAGTTAACTTAGAAAAATCTACGAGTTACCAAACATCAAGTTTTTGACTGATAATTTCTAAATAAAACTGAGCAATTTTTATCTTATTAAAATTTTCATTGGAATATCTCAAAGATCTTACTTAATTGAAGAAGATTATTCAATAAAATAGAGTTTATTGAAATTAAGTATTCTATACTATTCTTTCGCGTTGGTTATAAGATACTTATTAATGACGTCTCGCTCACTTGTCTTTCAAAAAACAAAAATCTATCTCGATAATTTCGATAGAAATAATTTTCAATCAAAAATTTTACAATGGTGAATTATGGGTACATTGCAACATGAACAAGATGTTTGTTTTAACTAGATAGATAAATAATCCAATTTTATCTACGTTCTTATTAAAACCCTTGAAAAAAGAAACTATTTGGGCTAGATGGATTGTTTCATAAATTTAATATTATGATACTATTCTCAAGATATTATTCTGAAAAACGTGCCGTCAACTAAAATAAATCTATATATTTCTGATAAGTTTTTGAAGTATTTTTTTCACGAGAAGAAAATAATCATATTTTAACTTATATCGTTGTTTGCTCATTTATTTGCAGACGTAAAGATCAGTAAATAAATGTTATGATGTATCCCAGGTCGAGCTTTACGACGTCCGTATACGACGGTAAATCGCCGTATTTGGCCGTATTACATG